CTAGAAATTTTCACTCACCTGTCGATATTATTTGGCTAGCAGTTTGAGCGATTCGCCACGGGCGGCGCCACCGGTCAATAAAATAGTGGTATTCCGCGATTAAATGCGATTTTAACAGTGTTCTGGTCGTTTATTGTTATTATCAATATAAGTGGAATAATCTACGTACTTTCAGCTACAAATCGAGTTCTTTATCTAAACGAAAGCTGCGCGTATAACGGTATAAGAGGTGTCCAAAGTGAACTAACCGGGGTACGCATGACGAGCTACAGTGTCAACCGTTGCAAATAAAGGGCGATTTTAACAGTGTTGTGGTCGTTTATTGTAACTGCCACTGACTGGAGATTAATCTACATTCTTTCATCTACAAGTCGTGTGCCTGGTCAAATCAAATGCTGTCCATATAACGTCGTGAGACCTGTCTAAATATGAAGTAAACAAGGAGTGCTTGACGTGACCCAGTGACTTCATCCATGTTTCCGGGACTCTGTGACACCCCAGCAACCATGTCAGTTTCTGCATATACTACTACAGCCCAAGTTTAAAAGACGTAGGCAGTAGTTAGTTTTTGTAGTAACCCGATGAATCAGACAAATATAATTGAAGATGAATATAAGTTCCTTCGATTATTTCGTGGGGTTCTTCTATGTGAAAGAAACGTGTGAGCTAGGGGCGTTGCTAGCGATCAATTTACTGTAATTTGTTAAAAAAAAAGAATTACATTGAGGTGCTGGTTTAATTTCCAGTCTGTGGCATGTAACTGTCCCTCGCGGACGAACATTATGATATATGTACATCCGTGTATCATGCGAGAACAGGGCGGTAGCATACGAATTATCAAACACAAACTGAACGTGTTCGGTTATCCCGCTACGTTGACGATTTGTGTGTCAAGTAGCTGTAATAGATATTCTAATCAAAGAGGACATACACGGTTAGACGGTTCTCGACCTACCTTAATCTTTCATTAACCGTATATACAGAGAGTGATTCTACATTAGTGTTGGACACTTTTTTTTTGCAAGTATACTCCTACACAGTGAACCTAAATGAAAAAGAATATTCTTATACCTATCAGAGACTGTTTCTTATTCCCAGTTAATAACATGCACAACTGGGTAGAAAAGGGGGTGGGGGCAAAATCCAATTTTTTTCTTGTAGGGTGGGGTAAAAGCCACTTTTTTCCATTCAGTGGGGCAAGTGCCCCCCCTACCCACCTTGGCTATGCCATGGTCGACCATCATACAACATTCTTACGATCAACAAATCGTTGTGATGCCAAACTTTCGGTATGATAAAGATAATCCGCTGGGCCAGGGGGCTACGAACGGCAGGTCACGATAGAAATAGGGTGGAAGGCGCGGCGATAGGATCGTGAACAGAAAATGACCGGTTCACGCTCGCTGGTATGCCGAGATGCATTTCTGTGTCAGTGGTAAAGGTCTAATAGCGGGGCTCGATCTCCTATTCCTTTCAGCTTTATTATAGACGCCGAGGCACCGACAATTTCATCGGGATCGCTCGCGGGGAACGAGCGTGATTGTGCGTCAGCCCACTTCTTGGCACTGAGCATTAAATATTTCATAAACTAATGGCCAAATATCATTGACTTCAGAATTCCAAGCCCTATCACCGTGCTAAATCTTAAACCATTAAAAACGTCAGTGTTACACCTGGGGACCTCTTCTTGTCAGTGGTCTGAGGGGTCTTCGAACACTCACCGATGGTTTCCTGTACTTTTATTTTCGATTTCGACCGAGTGTACCACCGTAACCAGTGTACACCATTCAGGAGTCGCCGTGAATAATCGTGGTATGCACCCATGTAGGGCGAACTCCTATTATAAGGCAACCGGTCTTCCATATTTATTATATCTTGTGGCCACGGGGGACGCGGTGGTCGGCGACGTTCGACTCGTCAAGTGTGTCACGTGGTCAATGACTTCCGTTCGTGGTGTTTTTTCTTCTTCTGTTTTTTCGACATTCCCGACACGATCCAGGAATACCGCATATCGATATCTCCTCGTTTCGGTGGACACCATAACCTAGTATGGTCCGAGATAGCACATGACGCCTTCAAGACGACTTATAAATGCGTCAGACCTAAAACAGCCGTAAAATAGGCGTCTTCAAGGCGTCATGTGCAATTTGGGGTAACTAGACTACTATATGGTGTAAGTATTATACGTTTATGGTGGACTCACGTCCGAATTCCTGGCTCTTCTCGATCGATTCGCCCTGGAATCGACGCCTGAGAAAGGCGAGAATTGAATCGGTAAATACGTTCGCAGGAAATGCCACGCGGAGATTAGCAAGATCCTCCTAATAAGAAGACACACGCCAGCATCCCGCTACCGAAACAGTTATGACGGGAACGTCGATCGCCTAGATCGGGCGCACGGCAGTGATGGGGGACCTTGGCAAAAGAAAAGGAAAGCCTCTTGATCCGCGCATCCGACGCGATACGGTCGTATTTACTAATGGGATCGATTGTGTTTGTTGTGTAGGGCAAGTCCGGAAGAGGCCACGTTTTCAAATAAAATTTTTTAATACTCTCAATATGTGTATTAATAAATAGACAATACTTCACATTCATTGAACTTTTCCGTTCATGAAAAACAAATTCCCAAAGAATGACAATTTTTCAAGACTTCGCAGCGGCAAGACCCCTTAAAAACGTTCGAAAATTTTAGAAATGATAAATATCACTTAATTATAATATTAATTAATTGTATCGAAAAACGTTTCGATGAATTATGTTGCGTTTTAAGGGACCCATCGGGAGGATACAATTTGATTTCCTTATATATTATTTTATTTTAAAATATCAAGGTGACAATGAGTTTTTCAAGGTCAATGCATCTTTTTTTTAATACCATCTTGATATAGATTTAATCTATTAAAAGAAAAGATGCGTTCACCTTGACAAAACTCAAGGTCATCTTTAGATCTCAAAAAAAAGATTAAGTAATAAAATTGTATCCATCCGATGCATCCCTTAGAATGCTACATAGTTCATTGAAACGTTTTCTGACACAACCGATGTTAACGAGTTATTTTAAATGGTAATTCTTATTGACTCAACCTGTATAATTCTCTACGATGACGTCTTCTGCTGACCACGTTGGTTGAACTAAGAGAGGTAGAGGGGGGATAGAGAGACTTTTGCCCGCAAGAATTCGGTCGAGACAAATTGCAACCGCAGGAACGCGAACAAAGGAAAAAAAAGACAGAACAACAGAAAAAAAAATGCTTTCGAACTGGATCTTTGGGGTCCGGTGGTGGACAGCGACGGAGGCGGAAGGTTGGCCAGTTCCATTGAAAATGTAGTGCCAAAGCCGCGTGGTCATTGGCCGCGCGGTCTGCCCCCCACGTGTGACCGGCAAGCTATATAGAAGGCCCCGCGTGGAATTTCATCTTCAGAGTCGAGAGTCAGTGTCAAAGGAAGTCCAGCCGAAGAGTAACGAAGTGAGTAGTTCGCCCTGGCTGCGTAACCCTTCTTCTCCTCGCTTGATCACGTAATTACAGTACATCAAAAACTTTAAATGTGTGTCGATACGATAAATCCGTGTTACATAGTCCCCTTGCATCGGTTCATCCCGAATAAGACAATCTTCGTCCATGTACACTTTTTGTTCTCCGATAGCAAATCGCTCGATTGTAATGTCCTGGAATCTTCTTCGTTCACATTTCTCTTATTTAGACAGTGCCTCCTCTATTGCTGCTTGTTAAAAATAAGGTATATAAATGTATCTCGAAGGAATTTTTGAGCATTTTACAGCTGTTTAAAATATAGTGTCAACATTTTTCAAATAGTTGAAACAAATAGTTGAAAAGTACATTTTTTTACCTGAAATAATTTTTATGAAGTATACCTGAGACCTAAGTAGACTTGTGTCTCCAGTGTAAGCATCCAAAAAGCTCATTCTGATCAGTTTCCTAATTCAACAGTTACAATTTATTGAAAACATATTGACACTATATTTCAAACACCTGTAAAATCAACGATTTAAAAAATGTTTCAAAATCCTTCCAGATACATTTATATGTCACTAAGGACAATAACATATTCAAGTTACAGTACGGTCCGAACAGTTACTCCAAAAAATGGTCCAAAAATAGTCCTTCATTTTACCTAAACATTCGAACAATCGTCCTCCAGTCCTACGAGACTTTGCCCCATGACATGCACCGTACTCCCTTCGTTTTCTCGCTTAATCGACGGATACCAGCACAGTCGCGACCGCGTTTCCCGGTAACGGTACCGGTTCGGTCGGGTTCAACAAACCGGGAGCGCTGCTTCTGATCCAAGAAGTGGGCTAGCCGGTGCGCACGACTCAGGGCGACCTTAACCGTTCTGACACACTTTCCTGGCACCGTGTGGCTTCTCCAGTCCATCTTTCGCGTTGGTGGTCGGCTTTTACTTTTCCTTGGTTTTCGGATCGAAGGTCAAGGTCCATCGTAAAACAACGGGAGCAGAAGAACTCGACCGAAAATTCTACATATAGAATATCTTTATAGGAAAGATTTTACTAGTGGTAAACGAGCATGAAAAGCTTCGCGATTTTCTGCCCGTAGAATGCATTACCAACAATACGTGTCGTTGTGTCTGGTGGGTTTGGTTCTGGGACAGGCGGCCAGCTTGCCGCAGCATCCCCAGTATTCACAGCAGATCGAGCATCGGCCTCGAGAGGACCGAAAGTTCGCGGAGAAACCGAACGCGATGAAGAAAGTCGCCATCGATGATTTGAACGAAGTCGGGACGAACCAGATTCAGGTACTTAATAATATATGGTCGATCAGTTTCCACCCTTCGATCAAATATAAACTTCATATCAGTGAAACCACGGATCCCTGCTGACAAAAGTTAAATATCAATCGGTGACAAAATTTAACGCACTTTTAAAATGAGTGTTGCATCAGTGCAACAATGGAAGTTAAAGGGTTAATATCGTCAACAGTTTCTGAGGTATTCTAGCGGGTCGATTTAAATGGGACACCCTGTATACTCTACCGTTTAGAAGGTACTCCGATGCAATAGAAAATACTTCCAAAGACAAAGATGAAGATGATTCGTAATGATAAGCTTCCTTGCCTTCATTTTTCTTTATCCTGGCCCGTTTCTGTTTTAAAACAAGAGGATGGTCCTTGAACATTCGGGTACTCAATCTGTTGATTTCTGTTCTGTCAGGAGGGTAATGGCGGCAGCAGCTTCTCCTGGTCGAACATGTTGGGTGTGCTGATGAGACTGTTGCTCGGCCGTGTGGCGGGCGACAACGAGGCGAGCAAAAACGAAATCGCCGAAGACGGTGTGCCAGCCAGCCCGTGGGCGAACGCGGTCGCGGTTGGCCTACGAGTGATCACCGCCCTGATCGGTGGCCCCCAGCACGGTGATATCGAGGGCATCGACAAGGTCAGCCACGACGGAAGCCCTATGCAGGTAAGTAGAATTGAGACACCGTAAGTCGGGGTAACTTTGACTCATTAGTCAGGTGCAACTTTGGTCCTAATATCAATAAACGATCATTTTCGACTTTGCAAATTTGAAAATTGTTACATTAACGTTGATTTTTGCGTGAAAAGGTATTAAAGTAAAAGCTACCATAAATGTAACACTGTTTTGCTGTATAGTGTAGACGCAGCTTAAGACAGAAAATGTATTGTTATCATTTATAGTCGTCATATTATAGTCTAGTTATCGTTAAGTTATCACTGAATCAAAGTTCGCCCAAATTACGGTACTCGATAAAAGTCACCGAATGAACTATCGCAACAGGATACGATAATGTCGTTTCCATTCGACAACAGTTCATCGGCATAGTGGTGAACCTTCTGGACGCTCTGAAGACTTCGTTTTCCCATCGTTCGTTCACGGCCAGATCAGCTGGCAGACGGGACACAGTTTCGGAGGCCGCTGTGGCGTCGATCACTATGCTCAAGGTAAGACCCGTCCCGTTTTCGAAAACCTTTAAATGATCGTTGTTCTCGTTCGACAAACAGTCCCTGAAGCTACAAGTCTAGAAGCAAAGAAAAGAATCATTATTATTATAAAATTCGGAGGAAAGTTTACGGAAAAATGAAAATTCGTTTAACATTGCCTGTAGAGGGTTAAACGGCAGTCCCTGCTTGACACAGAGCATTTGTTTTAAGGGTTATATGAGGTCGCTGAAGACCTTCAGCAACGTGGGTCGCGCAGAGGAAGAGGGCCAGCAAGGCTGCGCCGAGAGAGCCCTCTGCGAGGCGAGCGCAGAATGCGCGGCAGACGCTCAGGGGACGACGTCAATCTTCTGTCAGCTTGGATCGTAAGTGATCCTTTTAGTTCCAAAACCACAGGATCGTAATTATTAGACTGCGGATTTTATGCATTTATAGCTTATACCCAACCCAAATAGCACATGACGCCTCGAAGACGCCGATTTTACGACTATTTTATGTCTAAGGCGCCTTTAAGCCGCTTTCAAGACGTCATTAATCGTCATGTGCTATCTGGGAATTGTTTGAAAGAAAGTATACTAAGAAGTTTAATCAGTAGACTGTGGATTTTTATGCAAAATAAAATTTTATAAATTAATTCTTCAAGACAAGAACAAAGGTAGGAATTTTTATCTTTGCTTAAATATCTTATTGAGTTAAGAATAAAATAGAAAGTCGTTGCATTCGACGAAACATTTGTCTTTTACTATATTTCACAGAGCTCTAGAGTCTATAAATGCATAAAATCCGCAGTTTATTAATGAATTTTAATAATCCAGTTTAATAAGAACCTTCGGTATGGTAAAGAAATTTCTGTTTCTTCCTACTTTCCATAAACAAGAGTTTAAAGATTGATATTTACATAAAGATCCATAGTATAGTGCATCATTGACTACCTTTCTCTGTCTGACAATCGGCTGTAACGGAACATCTTCGATCGTGCACAGGTACACGACGAGCTACATACTTCAAATGCAGAGTGGCATCGGCTTCGAGACGCTCTACGAGGCTGGTCGTCGCGGACGGACCGGGCAGGACTGCAGGACCCTGTTCTTGGACTGCAACGCCGTTTGAGGGACTCGTTCAGCGTCCCAACGATCCCGTGGACCCACCAGACTGACCCGTATTACCGACGTAAAAACTCCGGATCCTGGGAAACGATCGTTGGTTAATCGATTAATTGAAGCTGATTTGGCAATTGGTCGATTGATTCGGGACGATTCGATGAGATAACCCACTTTATGTGTACGGGAAAACCGAACGAACGGGTGTCCCTTAAACACCTACGGTCGACGAGCAAACGGTTCACTCAGCGGGATACAGTGACTCGCACAAGTTTGTTCAAAGACTGTCACTTCTGTTTGAGATTATTTACCAAGATGCCAATTTTATTTAAAAATTGATAAAAAAAATCTTATCACGAAAGAAGCGTTGCGAGAAATGTTACGACACTCTATTCGAAAAGACGTGTGATTCACTTTTGAAAGTATCAAATAGAGATAATTATGTGTACTAGTAAGTGGCTCACGATTTTTTGGTCAAACTCAGTATTTCTTTTGAAACAAAATGCTATGCTATTTTAATGGTAGTTGGTATTTGCTCCATCGTTCTCCGCCATTTTGATTCGACAGAAAAATCGGAGAAGGTACAGGAATTAATATCTAGTAATAGAATATTTAAATAGAAGTTGCACAAATATTTCGACATTGTCGTTTCAGAAGTGTGTGAGTCACTCTAGATCGAAGAAGATCCGTGAACCGAACGAACACGTGCACTTCGATCGTACCTCGGAAAAGATCGTCGCGATACACACTTACTTATTGCTTGTTAGAGGATTTTTCTTCTTGTTAGAGGATTAGTGGATTTGTCCAGGGCGTAGACCCTTATTTATATTATGTGTAACTACAATTACTTCGATCATCGACGATTACATAGGCAAATTGTGCTTAACACAAGGGAACGAAGGTTTCCGTACATCCAGCTCTCTGGAATACATTCGATGTATTACGTTATTTTATCTTCGGACGCCAGTCAGTTTTTCAACCACCACATTCCACTTATAAGAGAACACGGAGTACGGCGAATACCCGTTTTGTATCCCACAAAGACTATTCGTCATCGCCTATGGTAAACTTTCACAAGAATAACGACTTTATAATTCTCTGGTACATACGAAAAACAACGGGGTGGCTAATGCTATTTATACACGACTGTAAATAATACCTATATGCGCCTGTAAATAAATTGTAAATGAAACGACTTCACGGAAACTGTACACATTCATTTCCCTCACCTGTCCCATTTCGAGTGGCACAAAATGTGTCTTCTGAGTCCACACGTCAAAGGGCTCGACTCCAAAAAACGTTCAAACCTTTAAAAAAACTAATATATCAGTTGTCTTTGTCGAGATCGTACAATTGAAAAGAGATAGCCTCTATTTAATTTCCAAAGTTTACAGTTAAAAGACACTATAATTTACATCTTTGTCCACTATTTAAATTTTAAATTGCTACCGAATCGATAATTCTCGTTCAGAGGAGAAAAATCTTGACGATTCCAGCGATATTCCAGACGGTTCGAACGAAATAACATACGAAGCGTTGTGACCATAAAATCCCGAAGAGTTACATTTAAAAGTAGACCTTCCGGCGATGGACGGACGGATTGGTCAGTTCCATTGAAACGGCTGGTCATTGGCCGTGCAGTCTGCCCCACCGCCGCGTGGGGACCGCAAGCTATATAGCGGGCCCCGCGTGGAATTTCATCTTCAGAGCTGGGAGTCAGTGTCAAGGAAGTCTGCCTGGAAGTAAGCTAGCTAGTGGGTCGTTCTTTGACTTGAAAACCGGAAATCGTATCTAGTTTTTCATTCAACGCTTTCGACAATTCCCCCCGCCGACTGTCGTTGCAGCCATGTAAGTACATAGCATTAAAAAACAACTAGTGAACACTTTTCCTTTCCTTGGGTTCACGGTGAAGCATTTTGCTTTCATACTTGGATCGTCCAGATACTTTGGACCGGGTAAATCACGGATAGAAATGAATTCGATGCCGGTTTTGAGGAATTTTAAGAATTTCCTATAGTGTTTTACCGAATGGACGGTTCGAACGGGGGATGATTCGTTAAATTCACTTGCTTTTAATCGATCGGTAATACTGTGGTAATTTATCGATTATCTGTGGTGTTTAATTGCACTATTTTGGGTGACAGAAGTTTAGAGTCTTTCCTGTGTTAGAGGAGAAGCGATTTGGTGTTTCTACGAAGAAACCTTGGCATTGTAACTACTGTTCCGAGGAGAGCATTATCCAATTGTCGTGGGGGGTCCCTGTTCCGGCGCAAATGCCGCGTTCGCAAAGGCCCCGAGTCGTGGAAGGAGCCTGGAACAGGTAGAAAATACCTTTCGCAGGTGTCAGGGTACAGTTAGAAATCGTTCGTGATTTTTCCGGCGGCTCGTGTACCGTTTTCGAAAGGCGTGTGTGCTCCGCTCTTCAACGTCGTTCGATGGCTATGCTCGCAAGCATCGTCCTGGATACGATTTTTTATTGCTTCCTACGATAATTGCAACTCTAACCGTCAAATTGAAACGATGTATTCGAGACCTGTGTGGCCTGATTCGGTGGTGAAATGGGCAATTGCAGACCGTTTCGTCAGCTTTTTACTCGTATTAATATAGTGGAAATCATTTCCTAGGTGAACAGAGGTTTGATTTCGATTTTTGAATTGATGTACTACACGTTCATTGTCTGAAATATTTACTGGTCAGACAATCTTACGATAAAATGCATTTCCTTACTCGTTAACCCTCTAATGATAAGGTCCGGGTCGTATCCGACCCAATCTACAGTTCCTCTTGTGCTGCCCCCACTCTAATTTTCATTATTTTTTCATTATTCTCGTTTTAAAATATTTTCTAATAAAATAACACTTGTATTATTACATGTTATATAACTGAATTATTATCCCTTACTATCTAAACAAATAAAAATACAAGGTCGGGATAATAACATTTTTTTACCCTGTTTTAAAATAACAAAAAAGTGCTTGGGTCGGATCCGATCCTACCTTACCAAGTACGACATTAAAACCCACGTTACGATTCGAGTGGTTACAAGAATTTAAATTTTTCTATTCATTACTCTATCATTAATGAAATATTCGCAAGAGTTGTAAATTTTACCGTTCAGAAGTTGAAGGTTTTCTTTCCCATAACATAATGGCGCTCGGTTCCCGCCAGGACAGTCAACGTGTTAACGAGACCGCAATAAAACAGCGAAGTCGAGAGCTCCCACGAAGCGTGAAGCAATGAATTTTTCATCGTCTCGTTTTCCTGCAACAGTTTCCATCCGCCGAACAAGACGCTTCACGATAAACTCCTCTAGAGGATTCAGTCCTTGGTCATATTAATGATGACCACTTGAAAATTTCATAGAAAAACTTGAAATTACGCTTCGGACAAATTGTTAGTTAGATTTTGTTTAATGTGGATAAGTGGTCACATTAATATGGCCAGGGACTCTATTCTTTTCCAGGATGGATCTGTACAGCGACAGACCAGGGCACTTCTGAAATGATATTATTTGAAATATTATTTCAAGTAACACGTTATTATCTTCCATAATTATTTCTACACCTGCGATCAGGTCTGAAATAATATAATTTGGAATATTATTTCAAACAACATGCTATTTTATTTTCTAATCATTTGAAATAATTCTTAGAAATAATTGTGAAATAGTTTTTTTTACCGACGTGGAACGATTGTTTTCTTTCTCGACAATATCAGACGAACCCAAGCAAATAAAATTTACTCAGGTCTGCACGACGACAGAAGAATTTCCACGATTTTCTCCGCTTGGAAGCTTTCTTTCCATCTTTTCTCTCTTTCTGTTCCTCTCGATCGTTCTCGGCCGGTCGCAGCCGAGGAAGAGGACGACGACAGTAGGTCGCGACCGCGTTTCCATGTAACGGTACCCGGTTGGGTTCAACAAACCGGTAGCTGCGATCGGGAGAAGTGGGCTACCCGAGTGCCGTCCGCCGCGTAGTGACCTTAACCGTTCTGACACACTTTTCCCGGGCCGCGTCGTAGCCGATCACGGTTCCCCGTCGACGCTCATTCGTTCCGTGCACGCTGGATCGCTTGCGTTTTCCAAGGGACCCCAAGGACAGAGCCCGTGGTCCGTGATCAAGGTCAGAAAACGTGAAACAATCGCAGGGTTCTCCACTAATTTATCGTGTAATCTGATTACTTTTTCCAATCCTTCTTGTCGCCGGTGTGCACCGAGAATTCCCGTAGAGTATACGTGAAAGTCAAGGTCGATCGATCGAATGATCATCATTCTTGTTGGTGTTTGTGCTTCGATCACGGTGAAACGAGAAAAAAAGGGAAATTGTATCGTCTGGAGGTGTCTAGAAGAATTTACAAGGGAGAAATAGTATCCTACGTACAACTACAGTAACTTATTGATGAGTGCTCGGAGGCTCCTTGGACCATTGACAAGAAGAGGTGTAACGCTGATGTTTTCGATGAGTTTTAGCAGAGTGATGGAGCTTGGAATTTTGTAGCCTTCGAACACTCATCGATGATTTACTGTACCGACCGAAAGTATGGGACTAGGTCTGAAAGGGAAGAATATTATTCTAGGAAGATTTGATAAAAGTAGTGTGCTTATAGCTCATTGAAAATGAATAGAATTTGATAATTTTTTTTTTTGAGATAACAATGTGACCTTGAGCTTTTTAATATCTTTCAAACTGAGACGATTTTTAGGTTAAACAACACGTAAATATTATTAAGTTACCCTATAATCTTAAGGTGGCAGTAACTGGGACATCTACCCTATCAGGGCGTCGAATTACCGTGAATCGTGTGAAACATTCGGGGACCGATTTTCTCCCGGATCCACTCTTGTTTTCTCCTACGAGATTATTGTCGTCGTAGACAGAGGGGGAGAGAGTAAGTCTTCAGTTGGACCATTTCACGCGGTTCACGGTCGAGATACCAACGAGTTCCTCCTCCACCTTTCGTTTATCAAATCGAGGAAGCCGTGTGTGTATGTGTGTCTGAAAATAAAACCAGGCTGTTCTCGGTTTCTGTTGCAGAATGCATTACAATCAGTATGTATCGGTGTGTTTTTTGGCACTTGTACTGGGACAAGTGGCCGCATTACCGCAGCATCCCCAGTATCCCCAGCAGATCCAGCAACAGGCCAGGGAGGATCGAAAGTTTGCGGAGAAACCGAACGCCATGAAGAAGGTCGCCCTGGACGATCTTGACGACATCAGCACCAATCAGATACAGGCAGGTGTAACAACGTATACCTTTCTGTAGCAGGATTTATTAAAGATTAACCCTTTCAAACCTGAATTTTCTTTCAAGAGTAAACAAAATATTTGAGTACGGATTTTAACTCAGTAGACTGTTTAGATATTTTGTTGAAACAAATTTTTTTTAATTTAAAGAAAAAGGTTTATCATTCAACTCTGACTTCACTAGACCTGCTAAAAATATTCAGAACATGAAAAAATGCTCGTGTACACAATTGTGACCATCAGTACTGAAAAGGATAAGATACCATGAATCTGGAAAAGTAGGGACTTAAACCGGTATGATTTTGATACCGGTATTATGCCATCAAAGCTATACTGAAACCGATATATTACCGAAAACCGAAATAAATATCGGTATTTTTCGATTTCTATAAGGGTAGGGCTTATATAGGGTTATATAGGGCGAAGGTACACCCGAAAATACCGATATAATACCGGTATTTTACGTTTCGGTAGAAGTCCCTGTAGAAAAGTGTTTACCCTGGGGATGTACGTCGAACCATTCGACCGTTTATGTGTTCCTCAGGAGGGTAGCAGCAGTGGTTTCTCGTGGTCGAATATGCTCGGCATGTTGATGCAAATGTTACTTGGTCAGACCGGCGGTGTCGCCGGGCCCAGCAAGAACGATATCGACGAAGGTGCGCCAGCCAGCCCTTGGACGAATTTGCTCTCGGTCGGCCTGAGGCTTCTCACCGCTCTGCTCGGCGGACCTCAACAGCCTGTCGACGGCATCGACAAGGTTGACAATCAGAGCAGCACGATGCAGGTAGGTCATCGACGTGTCCTTCGGTTTTGATCGGTGTTTTGTTCCTGTTCACGATCGTCGTCCAGAGTTGGGCAGAATTTTATTCGAATAATAGATGAATAAAAATCAATATCAAAATAAATAATTCTTTGTCAAATGTCTATTAATTCAAGAAGAAATATCTTATTATAAATATTGAATTTGATTCTTATCTTCTAATTCGTTATTCCAAACTTTTCATCCAGATAATGAATTTTTGTCCATCTCTGTCGTCGTCTCTGCTTGAATAATTCACTCTCGAGCTCTGTGTTCATGTCCACCTCTCGAAATACCACAAGAGATCTCGAAAGTGATCGAAGAGGAGCACGGGAGTGGAGTATTCGAGGCTTTTGATCGTCGAGACGAAAGCACAATATCGTTGCGAATCATTCCATGGTAAAAGTCGATGCTTCGAGGAAGGATCATTCGGCGAAGAACGCTTCTGTGTGGGATCTTCGATCGTTCTGGAACGTTCTCTGATGATCTTCCTTCGTGTTGCGCCATGGAATCGTTCGATCGATCTATTCTGTAGTCGATTAGAATCGGCAATGCATCCTATGCAGTAGATTGTATGTACATTGCTGAGCATGAAACCAGACACAAGGGGGGGAGGATATCCTTTTTCTCTGTTCGGAACCATCGGTCGATTATGCTCTGTGAAATTATCGATGCTTACTCTTATTTTTTTTTTTTTCGTAGTTTTGTAAAGAAGGATATGTATGATCGTCGTTAACGAAGTCACAACGGTGTACGAAATCGGTCCCACCTCTCGTCGCGAGTCGTTGCCCGGTTTAACGTGGTCACCTGGGAGCAATTAGGGGAACGATCATTATTCTCGCACGGGGTGTGGTTCCGCTAACGAACTTCACGTTTTCTAAACGATTTAATTTGTCCTTGCAAAATACATATTCGGTCGCGGTCGTTTATTTTTCGACTGTAACGAAGTCTCGAGAAAGTTGTGTCCAAGTCGTAATATAGCGTCGTTTAAAAGAAAGCAGGGATCGAAATAAACAGTTATTATATTTTTTTCTTAAAAGAAATTCTGTTTGGTCTTATATGTTTCGTTTAAGAAAATATCTGTGGAATTTTTATGAAAAGAAATGCTACCCTGAGGAACTTCTTTAAAAAGTGTTTTCATGGAACAGATATTTTGGAATCTGTATAATAAATGTTCCATAGAAACAAAGTATTTTGGAACATTTAAAAATGTAAATAAAAGTACCAACTTTTAGATGGTTTTATTTAACAATATAATATCATATTAATTACTTTTGTTTATCTGTCCTCATAGGAACTTATGAGAACGTTTTTTAAAAAAGTTCCATAACATTTTCGATCCCAGAAAGAAAGTTTAGAATTCAGGTTTTTACTTATCTCACTTATATATTCATTTATACGTGACACGATGGACATTAACGGGATCGAATGTACACCGTTGCGGCCGCTTCTATCGCGTAGTTGATCGACCACGTCCACCGCTTGGGATTCGATTTAGATCCTCCTTGTAAATAATCGTCGGAACATCAACTTAGTGCACACGGCTGGTGTCGGTTGTTTAGGATATATTGGCTGCGATGCTGGGCGCGTTTCTTGGACGACACAGAGACCCTAATCAGATTTATGCCATGGCTAAAAACGCTTCCGAGGTTAGTACGCAATCGAACGAAATCGTAGACAACAAAAAAAAAAACCTTGACTGTTCTCCCCGTCCTGGACGTTTCGCCGAGCCTTTTGTCCCTTCTTTAATTCCAGAAAGAAAAACAAACCGGTCAAATTTCTTCGATTCTTTTTTGTGTAAGTGTACCTAAGGGATAACCTAGGAGAAAAAACGGCGACGAATTTGCGGGGAATTACGTAGAATAACCCTTTTGCAGTCCAAGACTATAAAGTAATTTATTATAAATTACTCTAGTCTAAACCTCCAGATAACTTTGTTGTGGGAAATCAATCAAAATAATGATATAAACTATATGTAATAAACACATTTGTCTGCCCAGCCTGTGAAGTGCAAAGGGTTAATAACGTTCCGTTGAATAGCGATCTGCCGTTTCCGACGGCGGCCATCTTGTCAGTAAGCGCGCGTAATTCGATCGGGCGTTCGAAGCGTCTCGGCGAAGCGTCGAGGGTCAAAGTGAACGTTACATAATTAATTACGCTTTAATCGTGTATGTAGAACGCTTCCACTGTGTTGACACCGCGCACTTAGCACCTGATATAACGAACCCTTTGATCTCGAATCGAAAAAAGCCTTGTACAGAGTGTTCGACGGTCAAAGGGTTCCACGGACCGAGAAGGGTCCTCCCAAGATCCCGCGCAACTAATTCGATTCCCCTCTGAAACAGTTCATTAACATAGTGGTGAATCTTCTGGACGCCCTGAAGACTTCATTCTCACATCGTTCGTTGGCCGCCAGATCCATGGGAAAACGCGACACCATTTCTGAGGCTGCTGTGACCGCTCTGACCATGCTCAAGGTAGAACCGTCGACGTCCAAATGTCCCAATACAATTTCCTCTATTTTCTCGCTACATTATGTACCCTCGAATTTTACCGTAATTTTCATTCCTGTGAAACCGATAAAACTTTCGATTCAGGGTTACGTGAGATCGTTGAAGTCGTACAACAACGTTGGACGCGCCGAGGACGATGGACAACGTGGCTGCGCCGAGCGAGCGCTCTGCGAGGCGAGCGCCGAGTGCGTATCGAAATCTCAGGGCACGTCGTCCATGTTCTGTCAATTTGGCTCGTAAGTATTTTGTTTCGCCATCGACACACACCGTTCGACAAACTTTGAAGTTTTTCACGACCTCGTAACGCCTTCAACTGGCGTTTCCAATAGAACTTTATCAGGTGAAAAATAAAATTTTTTTAAATTAATTCACGAGGGACTGAAGCATTTCTCCCTACACGATTATTGTCCCGGCGCGGAACCGAGTTCTGGACAATAATCGAGAGGAGTCTGTATTTGGCACGTGTCGAACAGTGCAGTTAACTCTATGGAAACACAAGCAAAAGTTCTTAAGAAACTTTCTCTCTCGTTTCAGGTACGCGACGAGTTATCTTCTCCAGAGGCAGAGCGGCGTGGCGTTCGACGCGCTTTACGAGGCGAGTCGACGCGGTCGCAGCGGCGAGGACTGCAGAACCGTGTTCCTCAGTTGCAACGCCGTTTGATATGCCCTTCGCAACGATACGCCGAGTACGATTTAGGCTCTGCAAGGACCCTGGACCAGTTACGGACTCTTAAATCCTGGGGACACTCGAACCGTCCACGAGGCAGGTCCGTCCTTACAGATAACGCTCCGTATCATCCTTTAATCGTATCCCAAAAAAACGTTCTCGCGTCCTGAGCCCTGGATCGCACCCAGAACGGCGAGGCAGCTTTTTATACAGACACACGACGTGACGTGTAAACATTGTCAGGGAATCGCCTGGACCACTCACCGAAAATTTGGTGAACCGTCTCTCTCTCTCTCTCTCTCTCTCTCTCTCTCTCTCTCTCTCTCTCTCTCTCTCTCTTTCTCGAGGCTCTCGACGAGCTCTGGTTCGTCCATCGACTGACTTTTGGCTGTCCACTTTCACGATCAACTAATTCGAACATATAGTGCGTCTACGAAATATAGTGACTTTAGGTGTGACCTTCTCTATAGCAAAGAACACATTAAGGGTACTCCTAAATGTGTCCTTTGCTATTTCTTCAGGGTTGTTTGGTCCCATTTACTTTCTTTTACCACACGTCTGACGTAATTCTTGCACCCTTTAAATTTAGAGTATATTTTTTCTTTATAGGATGTCAAATTCTTTAAATCTAAGGGTCCAACAACCACTACCGTAAAAAGGAATTGACCATCCCTGGGCGTTTGACTTGCCACCGAAATACTTGAAGGCGTGAATAATCGAAACCCCTGTTGTTTTTACGAATGCACTATATCTCGGAGAGGCACAATACACGACGACGAAACTCGTCCGATTAGTCGCGGTATCATTGTCCACGAATCATTCGAATGGGACCTCTGGATGTCTCCATGAACGAGGTTACACCCTCGCGTGGACATCTAGATATTCGTCTGTGGAGCTGGTGATAGAGACAGAGAGAGTGTCCAGGTGTATTTCTTTTTCTCTAGACCACTAGATATTTATTTCTATTTATTGAGTATACCGTAACGTAGATGTAGACAATCCACTCGGTAGTCTACGACGCGAAGGGAGACACGGTTTGAACGGCTTGACCCTTTCGATCGCGATTTACCGTCTGTGATGGAAGCCATCTCGACTTTTCGATTAACGAAAAACTCCGACCAATCAGAGCGCCACTCTGCCGGCCGAATACCTAACCCACGCGCTGTGATTGGTGGAAGCCTCGGAGAACATTTTTGTTAAGGAAAAACTTGTTTCAAATCATCTCACGAGTCTCCCACTTCAAGATTGCAGACAATAGAAACTGTCGTCCTTGTCTTTCTCAAACGACTTGGCGTCCCCCACGGCCGGAAATATCGCGAGACAAAAGGAAACGATCTGCGGTCCACCGGGACGGATGAACGCGCGTCGCGATAGTTTCAGTTATCATTTCTCGTATTGTAATTTGTACTTTATTCGCGGTTTCGCGAGACAGAAATTTTTACACGGGGGGAGGAAGACGAGCTTAGAGCTGCTGGATCTTCGGAAGATGGGTAACGAATTGCTTGCTCGACGAATCATGTGTCAATCCTTTTCGGACCCATTATGGATCATTGATGCTGGATGGGATTGAAACAGACTCGTCGTCGAATGGCCCTCCCTAAAATTCGAACGAGTTAACGTCTCAGGATATATCTATACATATAAATATATTCATTTTCTCTTTCTCTCCACCCGTCCCCGAGGTTCTCTTCTGTATATATAGGTAACTCTCTATACGCAGAAACGGGGTGTATTTTTATCACACATAACCCACGTTCTATTTAGCTCGGTTAGCGTTATCACCTAGGTGTTAAGTTGTATTTATGCGTGAATTGTATTTAAAATCAAGCCAATAAACGGTCTCATTCGCAAAATGAATTTGTTCCTTTACTTCCTTCCCTGAAACTATAGGGCAGAGAAATCATTTCGAAACACTATGTAAAGGTGTCCCATTTAAATCGAACAAAGAACTCAAATGTTCGATTTATTGTTAAGAAACATATTTCCTGTCACAGTTCCTTAAATCCATGAAAATCACTTTTCATCTTCGATTACTAGATCAATGCTGTCCCCAATACTCAAATACCAGAACAAAATTCCTCTGTCTAAAGAACACGTATACTACACAGTAGGCGTTGAAGTCTCCACTTGTCCAATTAACACATTCCTACTCACGAAACCTACATACGATCCATTAATACTTTTTCCAAGCAAGGACTTTAAACGACATTTCTGGTACAATTATAAGACGATAGAGTGTCCAGTCACCGAGAAGGACACTGAGAGAAGCGTGCACAATGGCCAAAAATTTGTTCTAATCTTGTTGATCGTCACCATTAAGACCGAAAACGAGGACAGTGCGTGTTTAAGCCGTGCAACCGGCGTAAAGACGACCAAGGTGACGTCAAGAAGCACCGAAGTAGTTACACTGCCGTGACAGACAACGGACTAGGACCGACTGACTGTCCTCCGAACGAAAACAGTTCACCGTACCGCGTCCTAACGACGGTTCACGAAACAAAAGGTTGCGAAACACCTTCTTCGCGAGTTTTCGGCGGTCAGAGGAGGACCGTGACCCGTGATATTGTTTTCCTGTCGGATAGATCTCGTTAGGGGAACGTTCAAAAGAAAATATTCTCGATGACGTTCAAATCCTTGTTGAATTTTGGGAAATTTCCCAAAGACCCGTATCATCCTCCCATCGAACGGTACCAACACAGCGGTTCCGGTGGATGGCATCACAGCTCGCGGGGGTAAGTATGCCTGTAGTGCAAAAAGTGCGATAAAATTGAATTTAACGTTAAGAGTGCACCACGTGAAATTAATTTGTACTGTATCAAACCTCTTTAGTTCATTTTGTTTACAAAGCAGAACCGTGTAGACTGTATTCGATCTCCTACCAGTTGGTAAAATTATTTCAAATAAGTAAGTTGCACGATTTCTTTTCAGGAGCAACAAGGCTAAAGGTGGAGGCGGTGCTGCGCTGAGTGCATTGACATTGCTCGCTTTTCTGTTCCTAATAAACGTCATGCAGGTAACTATCCTCGATTACACGCGACTGTCCTCCCTTCGAAATCAAATTCCGGTTTATAGAAGGAGGCGATACGACCTGAAAAGGAAAAGACATTCTGTGCATCAAAAAGACACATAGGAAAGAATTAAAATGGCGTATGTACAGGGTGTTTAAAAATTATATGTCACGGCTACCATAGTCATTTTTGCGGAGACTTTCTTTTGCAGATCTCCACCGATCCAAAGGTGTAGAATAACGCTATGGTAGCCGTGACATATAATTTTCAAACAATCTTGTACTTATGCAATTGTCGTTGGTGTTCAGCAATCATTGCAGGACAACAACGCAGCGGCCACAACGATGATGACCACTGCGGTGATGCTCCGCGATGGCGAACAAGAACCGGCGGCGGCGACGGTTCTTGTCGCGAAGGAGGCGATCGAGGACAAGGCACGGGGCGAGGTGAAACGTGACAGGACGCACGGTACACAGCCAGGAAGATCCAAGATTGAAAGGCTTAACAATCAGTATATTAAATAAAACGAATCGGTACATAATGATTGATAATACACGATAGTTAGTCGAAAAAGGGGATGGAGAAATCAAACTCGGTGGATCGATCGGATTGGAAGCTGTCTCATCCCGCGGTTCTCGTATTTTGTAACAATCCAATCGCCGACGCGTGTTCTCTCGCCGCCTTTTTAGATCGGTACTGAGATAATATTTTAATTGAATCATTCTGTAACAATTCCTTAAACGGATGTGCCTCCGAAAATGCCGTACATATAGTATACGTATTGTTCTCTCTTAAATACACTCTCTGTTTCTTTCTTATTATTTATTCATTTTTTTTTTTTACTTTTTCCGGGTCATTTCCTCTCGTGTTTTCTATATATATATACATATATATACTTTGCTCTTTTTATTTGTTTTTTTTTACCTTCAATGTAATCATATAATAGCCGTATAATTTCTTTGAGAATAAACATACATATATACAGCGAAAAATCTTGATCTCTCTTTTTCTCTTTGCTTTTTTGTTTTTCTTTGGTTTAATTTTTGCGTTAAAACGCGTGTAACGCGCACACTCGCGCAGATCGAACGGTTCACTTCCGGTGGTCGACGACGGGAACTCAGTCGAAAGATTATTTATAAGAATAGACTCTATAGGAATAATTAATGCTGTCCCTCGGAAAATAACAGACTTAGAGCCGTCCACGACGAAGCTTCTCGCTCTCTTGATTCTACGGTGACACATGTATGCAATCTATTTCCTCGGTTTTTTTCTTCTCGGCTGTTGCGGTTCGTTCGTTTCCCGCCCGTTTTCGAAGTTCTAAACTCTCGCGGCCTAAAGCTGTGACGCAGCAGGAAATAGACTGCGGATGTTTAACTAAGAATTTCTGAGGTGTAAACAAAATGGCCGCCGTCTCATTCTCGACTCACGGACGATTCCCCGCCATGAATTTTGTACGTTCGGTAAACGCACCAATGAACACTTAAGAGATTTTGTCACCATTAAAGTTGAATTTTAAATGACAATAATATTATTAAAGATTTGGCACATGAAAATTAGATTGTTTAATATCTATACCCTTTACAACGTATAGATTTCAATATTGAAGAATTGGAAAATTGTAATTAAGAAAAAATACAGATTTTACCAGTGAATGAACAATATTAAGCAAATAAACATTTCGAACCAATGCGGCGAAAATTATTTAAATATGAAACAAGGAATTGGAAGTAATCAATATTTATTTTTTCATTGACTGAATCATACGTGTTCATTTACCGATGCGTCTCCCTACTTACGTAACTTAATCGGCTAAGCGTTTTCTCTATAATTTCTCACGAGCTTCCAAACAACGAGAGAGTCTTTTCGAATCTAGAATCTAGAGGAACGCAATGCGAAATGATTGAGCCAACCGTTGATACGCGAACAATTTTTATTCTCAATTTTTCGATCGTGTTTACCTTTCACACTCTTCTCCTTTCTCTCCCTCCCTCTCATACCTGTTCTCACAGCGTTTATCTCGCGATATGCACACTCCGACACGCTTTTATTTACAACAACGTTAGAAACATTTAAATAGTCCTTCGAGACATCTCTCGGTAGTCGAGTCTCTTAAAAATTAATCGTGGATGTTAAGGGAAGCTTGGGGATGGTTGCTTACGAGGATGTGTATGTATTCCAACAAGTACATTTTTCTGTAGCTGGCGACTTCGGTGGACATATGGAACGACGAAATTTCGAAGATGAGTGCAGCTGAACCCGGTTTTTGTGCATTCTACATTTAATAATCGAATTGGGAGCCGTGGTTTCATTGATGTAACAGATGTAAAGTACAGTCTAAACTACGGACCCCTCTCGATTATCGTCAGGACAATAATCGTACAGGGAGAAATGCATCAGACCCTCGTAAATTCGTTTTTTTTTCCCGAAGCTCAAGCTTCGGCAACAAAAACGGAGGGACAACGAAGTATGAGTTTGGCAGGTTTCACACCCCCATCACCCAGTGGTGGGGATAACGCCTGGACAATAATCGTGTAGTACAACCCAGACGATAATCGAGGTGTCTGTATTACCGACAACAGAGATCGTACCGAGACACTTTCTTTCACTCGAGTATGACTGTAAAATCGTGAATATGTATCTGAATTTTGAATTCGGCATGGATAAATAGAAGAAGTCAGGAGGTTCAACTGGATTCGTCCCACGAAAACGAAGATCTCCCGTTGGAGAACAGAAGGTTCTCGTCTGCACCGCGCAGACGATTTCCAGAAGTTCTGGTTTCGTTCGCCATTCCACGGGACTCGCGAGCGCGCGCACAAAGATGGCGGCCGCGAGTCCCTCCGAACGATCGGTAAAGACAGATGAAGCTAAACATCGATATTCAAGGAAAAACACTACTGATTATGCGGATAAACGTTCGAAGATCCTTTCGTTCGCACCTCGTTCTGCGGTTCACTTTGTCCAATGGGCGAAACGATGGAAAATAGAACGATGAGTCAATTCCTAGACGCGTGCGAGAGAGCTCGAGAAGAATTGGCTCCTCCTGTGCACCGATCAGACCAAACGGAAACCCTGTCCGTTCCCTGATCTAATAAAGGATCCTGCAAACGCGAGTCGAAGCTATTCAATTTTTGCAGGAGACTAATGCAACGGGATAAAACGATGCGTCTTCTCTAGCAAATACAAATTCCATTTTGAACACAGTTACTCTTGTTAACGCAGAGCCAACGTTGTCGAAGAAACGTAACATCTAGACTGCGGATGTTTATGCATTTTTTAGCATCCCTTAACTAGGAAGATGCAAGAAAATGAAGATATTAATATAATTCAATACGATCTACTCGTGTTATCCTAAACGTAGTAAAGCCTTCAGTGCAGAATCCAAAATTCTGTCCAACTTTTATTTTCAGGCATTAGTATTTGAAATTGTGAATTGTGCGTAAAATTCCGCAGTCTAGTAATGTCTTTGAGCAGTTATAAATCATCACGACCGCGTTCGGTTCGTTTCCCAGCGAGTTGCAAGAAGCGTCGATCCTCTTTGAGAGAACCTTTCGCCTTTGCCAGACTCTTCGAGCCTTCGAAGGAGTTGGAACTCGAGCGTCTGATCGGGGTAGCCACGCTGATCCGTGACTTTTATCAGTCGTCCATTAACACGAACGGAAAGAAAAAATACGAAATAACGATCAAGCCTGTCGGAAACGTTCACTGTTTGGACGAAGATATCCCTCTTGTAATTAACACTAGAACTACCAGAGTCAAATCCTAGATAGCACATGACGCCTCGATGACGTCCATTTTACAGCTATTTTAGGTCTAAGACGACTTTAAGCCGTCTTCAAGGCGTCATGTGCTATCTAGGATGTAACTAAATTAAATTTATTGTGCAATATAATCAGTGTAATTTAGCATATCGTATAATATAAAATCTAGGATAAATTAAAGATTAAGGTAAGGTCCGACGGGAGAAAAAAAAAAGCAAGAAATTAAAAATCTGTCATTTTGTCGGGTTTGGTAGTTCTAGTGTTAACACTTTTCTACCTGTGAGCCTATTATAATAGATTTTCCGATGGTAGAGAGATACTCGGGCCTCGTCCCATTTTGAACGCGTTCCATAATCCGTCAAGAATCACATATCCCAGTCCTCGCCACCTAAATTTCCTAAAACCGTGACTACCGTGACTCGCTCGATCGGCTGAATTCGTAAGATCCCTATCGATCGTGAAAGATCGGATAAACTTTACAATTAACCTCTACTACCTTGTACTCTTTAGGTCGACTTCCACGAAGCAAAGGATTGTATAATATATCTCGAATCAATTCCCGTGTCACGTAAAATCAGAGATTAACAGATTTATCCTCTGGAACAACGGATTAGCAAAAAGCTGAATGATATTTTGATATCTTGGGTGATTTAACGAGCGTCGAAATGTATCTGTTTGTTTAATGGAATGAGAGAGCTTTCTATAAAATTTGCCCATCTCCACGCTGTTATTAGCGGATTCGATCGATTCTGACGATTCGTGGTCGTTTGATTCTGTCCTTGTACCTATAACCTCGCCTAACTAACCGTCGCCCTCGAGTTTCGTCCTCGTGGCAAAACAGTCCTCTCTATCTCTCTCTGACCGCTCTCTATTGGCGGACGGTGGCTCGAGGGGAAAAAGGATTAGATCAAAAGAGGAAGAAAATTCGTGTTTCATGGGATATGAAGTGCACACAATTATACTCCAACCACTCGCGCACAATACTCTTACGATCTATCCATGAACGCAATCAACGAAACTATGCGAACAATCTATCTCGTCGACTTCCGTGCGTGTGGAGAGAACCATCTCTATACACTACCGGCCAAAAGTATGAAATCAGAGCTCATTATTGGAATAGTAAGTTATTATTCTGTTACGATATATATAATAGTTAAAACTGACAGAATCAATAGATATACAAATTATTTCCAATCAGTTTTAGCACACTAATTTTCTCAAGTCTTTATCGAATAATATTTCTCTTTAATTAATCAGACCTGGCGCCATACTTTTGGCCGGTAGTGTACTTTCATTCGAGTTTCCTGGGGATACTTCGAACACAACGAACCTATAACAGAAACAATAATTCATGTAAAAAATTGGAAATTGTGATTTTGCATAAACTTTCCGCAGTGTCTACCAATAAGCGACTACATCTGAAAATAAATTAAATTATTATCTGTGAATTCAGTATAGGAACACTGCGTTCGTGGTGTATTTCAAGGATCCATAGGAGCACGAAAGTCGAGAAGATGGCCACTAGTCGCTGGTACGACACCAAGTAACTGGTGCCACGATAACGATCGCTAGTACTTTCAACATTCGATAAATTCCATCTGACGCGTATATGCCTCTCTACAGCTCGGCGGAAAAAACACTTACAGAGCTATGTTGTCTATCTACATGATATGAAGCTGGTCGATGAGTTCTAACGGCCACGGGCCACCGTCCACGGCCGATATCGCTTATGTATGTGTGTATTTGTTTTTTCTTGTTATCCTTAAGGAAGCATTTTGGTCAACGTGCGCGTACGAGCAAGCATGCTTCTGTCCGTAAAAGGTAACGTGAATTTCTAAATTACGAGGAGACGAACGAGTTCTCGTGGAAGGGGTTACACGTTCTTCTTAGTGTAATAATCACGCGAAAATTGGTAACCGTTCGACTATTAAAAGGTTATGTACAAGTGTTCAACGTTCGACAGACGAATAGCAAAGAAATCTATACCGGAACGTCACTTACGAGTCTCGTATTTCCGTTCAAATCGATCGGACGTCGTCTTTTTCACGATGATGGCATCATCGTCGACGATCACCTTCGACTTAAAACGAGTTCCAACGCTAGAAAATCGGAGGGGGGGGGGGCAACGAGAACTCGGCCGGAGGAGTTCCAACGAGAGGATAGGAGTATGCAAATCTGTTTAAATGGAGGACAAGGCGAGGGGAAAGAGGCGTGCCGTGATACTATTATTAGTGCTGGATCTCGTCAGTCTCGTCCTGGGACACGATGCTGGACCTGTTCGACCGTACGTCGAGGTCCATGCCGAACGGTCTCGACGTCGTGTCCGCGAGAAGTAGCGTTTGCGCGCCCTCGTCGGTGCTCAGGCTACACTCCAACGAGCTGTCACTGAAAGTACAGAAACAGACTTCTACTTCATCACTAGCGTCATCAACGATTGCCCTACGGAAACGGTTCGGCTTCTGATCGACGATCGTACCCGGGCGGGTTTACCTGACGATGCTGGCACGATCCACCGATCCCGTGGCCGGCAACGTACAGTTGTCTCCGTTGCACGAACGTTCGCCGTTACTGCTGCAGGACGACGACGTCCTGGTCGTCGTCGTCGTCGCCGCCGTCGCCTCTCTCAGCGACGCTCGCCGCGATTCCTCGTGACACTCGCACCTGTCGATCGATTTCCTGGATTTATTCGCGCGTGCAGAACCGCCTCCGCCACGGTCGTCTCGGAAAGTGAGGTTATGGTAACGATACAAAATCTACCTTTCCATGGAAACCGTGACCACGGTCGTCATGGCTAATAAGGTTATGGTAATGATATAAAATCTACATTTCCATGGGAACCGTGATCGCGAAGAGTGGTCTGACAACGATACAAAATTTACATTCCGAGACGACCGTATGGTGTCCGTCGAAATTCTCGTTGATCTGTCTTTCCCGATTGAACAACGCGTTTCACGGGTCAATATGGCGGCCGCACCTGCACTCTTCCGGCTGCACGTAGCTGTACCCGCCCGATTTCGGCTCGTCGTCCGCGCGCGGTATCGTCTGGATCCTCTTCGGTGCTTTCCTCTTCTCCGGTATCTCCTCGAAATTGATCCAGTTGCTCGGTCTGGCAGGTGCTCTCGGCGGCAGTGGAGGTGGACTCGGTGATTTTCCCGCGCCTTTTCGGCCCCCGTCGGTCACCTTGCCAGCGAACTCCGAGAACGTATTCGCCGCGTGCTTCCGCGGGCTCTTCAGCTTGCGACTGTCCTCGCGCGGCAGGGAGATCTTCATCTTCTCGATCCGACGCTCGTCGAGGGACGTATGCATCACGAACTCGTCGAGAAGCGTTGGATTGATGGGCGTCGTGGACCGCGGCCTCTCGATGGGTATCGTTCTGGATAAAAGAATATAACCGATGAGACTTGTGGAATTTACAGAAACGGAAAACACGAGGGTTTCTTATAAGGCAATCTCTTAATGAGATCTAACAAGGCCCAGCGATGTAACAAACAGAGTACGACAAAGGATTTCTTTATCGAGAATGTTCTCCGTCACGCACCTTACTTCCTGAAGTCGTTGTTTCACAGGCAGCATCGGCACAGCCACGCTTTTCTCCAGAGGCAAGGTAGTGGGTACATAAGGTAGATCCTCCTCGAAGCTCTCCTCGTAGAACAAGCCTTTCCTCTCGTCAGGCAACTCTTGCACGAGCTTCTCCGCCTTGTTCCTGACGAACTCGATCTCCGAGTCCCTCTCCGATTCCGAGCTGTTGTGATCCAGATCGGAGATTACGCTGGGCGCCTTTGCGAGGCCTTCCTCCGGTCGAATCCCGTCGTCGAGCAGCTCCGACGACTTTCTGCTCTCTTTATTCTTGGTCAATTGTTCCTTCGTCTGTTTCTTGGCGGGCGTGTTCTCGACGATCCTCTCCGGCGGCGGTGGCGGTTCGATCGGTTGCACCTCTTTGCTCTTCCGTTTCGGTTTCGTGATCTCTTTTCTCGTGATCGAGTCTCTCGACGAGCTGCTGGACACCCGGTGCTCCGTTGTGGAAGGCTTGCTGTCTTGACCTGGCAACGGTTTCGCCGCGGTCTCAGCTGTTTTACCGTGAGCACTGAGCTTCGAGTCCTTGGAGGAACTCCTCGAGATCTCAGAGTCTTTCGAGATGCTGCGCGACACCTGACTGTCCCGCGAATAGTTTCTCGACGTGGTTTCGATCTGTGCCTCGGTCTTGATCTTCGAGGGTATCGGATGATGCTCGATCGAGACCTCGGTCACGATACTCCCGGTACGGGGCTCAGACTCGTATTCGTCCAACAATTTCGTCGGGGTTTCGAGGGGTATCGAGACGCTCTCAGAGGGCAAAGCCTCCTCGTAATTCCTGTCGTCTGCGTGCAGGCTTATGAAAATCGAGTCCTCTTTGTGGCTCTCCCGATCCGTGTTGAACCGAAACTCCACGTTCCCGATACTCTCAAGGGACGGATGATGACCGTCGTCCGTATTCTCGAGCTCGGTCCCGCAGGTCACACCGGCGATCGCCTCGTCGTAGCTCTTCTTCCGTTCCCGTTTCTTGAAAAGGCTCAACGTCGACGAGAACACACTTTTGTTCTTCGAGTCCCGTCTCAGGCTCGACCCTTTGTCTACGGAGACCCGTTCGCGGGACTTCGATCTGCTGCGCAGACTCTCCGTGGTGTCCTTTATCTTCGAGGTCAGGCTACGTCGGGGTTTCGTGCTCGGCGACGGTGATTCTGGGCTCAACACACTGCTGTCTGTTCGGCCCTTAAAAGTTGAACACGCGGATCGTCAGAACATGCAGTGTCTTTTTTGGGGGGAGATTCTTCGCAGAAAAAGCTTAGCGGGTCTTCTACAAAGACAAAGCCAGGAATCCGTTGTGTGGACCAGATGAAGCGGGTAAGCGTATAAGTGAAAATGCGTTCGGCCCTCCTGGGAGACCAACCGATCAGCCCCAACAAAATTATGATTATATATAAGTAGTGTAACTAATTAAGAATCAATTCCTCTACTTCATAAGCCCAATTTTCGGGCACTAATCAAAACTTTACTGCACATCGTTTTGGAAGACTTATTACTGTTACTGAAATGAAACATAGAGGAAGCTGATCCTCCAGGAGGCTCGTTCAGTCGCATCGAAGACTACAAGAGGCCTACAAGGTCCACAATACCTTGAACAGAGAGGCGAAGCTGCTTTTCCTGGAAACGGAAGACGGGCTAGGCGTCCGGGAGCCCTCTAGATCGCGTACTTTCTGATGCCTGGGCAACTTCGGGCTTCCGGTCGCGCTACTCGTCGTCGGAGTCGTTGAAACGATCTCCTTAAAGTTCTGCGTTTTCTTCCGTTTGTCAGTGAAATCCAGTGTCACCGGTTTCTGAAGCTCCTGGGCCAGACTACTGGACGACTGTTGCGACGTCGTGCTTTGCGTATCCGCTGGCTTCTTCACGATCGGCACCTGAAGGGTTCACGCAGTCTTAGACCAGAACGAAGTCGATCCTGCGCAAGAAGATCTCTGTTTTCCGTTCGCTCACCTCTATATTGACCTTCTCCAAGAATCTCTTCGTGATCTCCACCTCCCTCTTGAAGATCTCCTTCCTCTCCTCGCGTCCACGGCGTCGGGGTTTGTCCAGAGGATCTGCCTTCAGATTCCCGTCGACCATCGAGACCCTTATGCTCTCGGGGATCAACGCCTTCGTGGTGTCAGCTTCCCGTTTCAACAGAATCTTCTCCAAGTCGTCAGTCTCCGGTTTCGATGGTTCAATGAGATTGTCGGCTAGGGTAGGCTTGCTCCCGCAGAACGAGGTCTCCAGCAGACATTTGTGCGGACTCGGTGATCTAGTCGAAATCGATCGTTTAGCTCGTCGAACACGTTTCCAATCGACTAATCCGATTGATGGGTACGATCCTCTTACCTGGAGGAAGTGGCCGAGACCACAGAAAGCTTCCCGGAAGCTCCGGAACCCTGGCTACCAACAGAGGACAGCCTCGATGTCCTACCGCTGATGTTCAACAGCACGATCTCGGAACAATTGCTATCCTTTCGTTCTCTTTCCAACTGTTTGCTACTGTAGTCCGATAACGAGCCATCCTCTTTCCGTCTTTTCGCCAGCTTCTTCGACTCCCTTTTCAGATCCTGCTCGTGGATAGGATCTTGGAGGTCCAGCTCCTCCGTGGACGATCTCAGATCTTGAGCGTCCTCCTTGTAACCGAGCGTCAGCTTGCATCCAGCTGGGGGCTCGCCGCCTGGAATAGTTCAACCGTGGAACACGTTTAACCTATTGTTCCTGTGTACTGCGACCGATCTACCGCGCGACAGCAACGAGTCTAGGCGATTGGAACACTAGCTACTCACTAGGGGCGACCAGGTTTCAACTGTACTTCTACTCCAGACTGTCTACAATCGTATACGGGGTGGTTCGATAAACGGGTGCTAAGTGTCGACTAGGCAGCAAGTCGTTACCGCTACATCGAGCAACGTCTTTAGAGACTAAGAATCGTCTAGATACAAGGTACCAGTGGTGACAAGCAAACGCTAAATTAGTCCGACAACAGACTTTAGGGGTAAAGTATCTAAGATCGATCGTAATAGTAAAGGTACTAAATCTTGAGCAAACTTCACTCATCATCACACTATTATTAGGTCAATTATTAACGTAGAAATGAACACACCACAGTGAATCATCGATAAGAGTTTGATGTCTCCTCGGCACCGGACATTAAATATTTCATAAACTAATGGTCGTATACGGTTGAAACAAATATTATTGGCTTCAGAATTCCAAGCTCTATCGCTGTATCAAATCTCATTAAAAAAACCACCGCTACACCTGGAGACACTCATCGATAATATACTGTATTTACGTGATATTTCGTGGTTTCTGGTTGCCCGTCAGATTCAACCGTTGTTCAACACGACCAGTGGCAATACTCCACCAGAGACACCGTGAACGTGTTGCTTCTTCCTACAGGATAACAAGGTCTACCACGTTTGTGTGTCGCGCGACAAAAGCCACTCGAATATAGGGCAAACTTCCCGGCGCAACCGCGTGTCCCCCTCGAGTCCCCTCCCTTCCCATCGTGTTGTAACTCGAGGAGACCTGTATTAATTCGTGGTTCCACGCAGAAACGTGGAATCGAGCTGGCGTTATCTCGCGGGACCGTTTAGATTAGTTCAGAGGCGCCGCGACGAACGTATGTGTCCCGGTCGCGATCGATTCGTGCCACCGACCCTCCGTTCCTCGACGCATCCCGTTGGAAATTGTCGTTTGTTTACGCGAGATACGCGTAAACGAGCGGCGTACGGAAAAATACTGGCGTTTGTGTCGTTGGGGGATGGTCGTCTTATCGAGGGGGCTGCTGGAAACTACCGTTCGAGGTCTTTCTACTATACAGAATCTCCCACCAAACGCAAGCACCTTTAGTATCTGACTTGCTTTTGATTTGCAGGGAATTTATTTCAAGAAATGCTCAAAGTGTAATCTCAAATTGTGGATTTTTGTACACAAGATCACACGAAGGTCACAGTACTATAATTAGAGTCCACGGTACTTCTTCTTCGTTTAAGGATCACGATGATTACCTGCGAGTAGCTCCCTCTCCGGCGTCGAGTCCCTGGAGTTACTGTCCTCATGGTGGGAGGAACTGCTCGCCCGGCTGATGTCAATACGCGGTGTGCTGGGTGTCTTTAGCGAACTGCCAGGCGTAGCCGGCGTGGTCACCTCGACGATGCCTGGCATTCGCGCGACCGGTTCCCCCTGCATTCAAATTCGTAAAAGGCTGGTTTTTCGCTCGGGTCACAATCACTGGGGTGTGGTTGTGGTGGTGGTGGTAGTGATGGTGGTTGGTTGGTTGGTGATGGACACAGGTCAGCCTGCTTCAGGAACACGCGGAGCTTCGATTTTTCGAAGGAGGAACAGACTTGAACACGTGTGGGCGAATACACAATCGCCGAGATCCTCGACGAAGAGACTCGATAGAGAAAGAGAGAGAGAAAGAGGGAGAGGGAGAGATTGTGAGAGAGTGGATATCTCGGCAGACAGGCCGATTCAGAGAAAGATAGGACACTTCAGGGAGGACACAGGGAAGGACTCACGTTTTCCACCTCGTCGGACAGGTCTTCGAAGGATGCTATCGGCGCTGGTCCAAGCTTCCTCTGATGAGCGCTCGGTAATCCTGACGCCATATTTTATTCCCGATAGCTCAGCCCTCGATGATGCTGCAAGAACACCCTGTACTTTAGTCGATCCCACTTGTCGCGAGTGGAACAAATATAGTGACTTTCGTTTTTTTTTTTTATCGACAGACCCACTCGTCCCGTTGTCCAATAGAAACCGTGATTGACGGTGGTTGTTGATCGTTCATTGGGGTCAGAGCCTAAAACGAGGGGGTAGTCAAACGAAAATCCACTTCTGAACCATTGACAACATTCGACACTGGTGCCCTAACTACACCTAACGAAGTCCCATTGAGTCACTATATTTCTTCCATTCACAGTATCGTCCCCATTTTTAATAGATTCCATTCACGGATCTTCTTTTCGAAGTCTACGAAAGAAGCTAATCAGAGTCGACGTTAGAACGTTTAACCCGAAGGACGAACCGATTAGCTCGTGACACGTCGTTTGGAACACGGGACATCGAGGGTCTCTCTCGTCACCAATCGACGCTGATCGAGCACCTGATCTCCAATTTTTTCCCCATCGAACCACCTCTATACAGATGAACAGCCCTTACACAGGGTGTCCGAAAACATTTCGACTAAATGCGTGCAACACTGCAGCATAGATTGGCACAACTCTCCCAAAAGAAAACATATCTCATAAACATTTCTCTTAAGAATTAATCGACGCGGTTGGTTCTTGACGAGATTGAAACCTGTCCTCTTCCAAGGAAGCGTCCAAGAAAGTTCTCGAGTAGGTGAAATTTATGGACGTAAACGGGAGGCCAACAGTTCCCGAACAAAGTTGTGGTTCTCTTGGCAGTTCATTTTGCAAAATTACTGCTCAAAGTCTTTCCCCGATCCACCGAATCTCCGCGAACAGGTCTGCTGATTCGATAAACTTGATATTCGACTGTACCCTCGGACTGTTCCGGAATCCTATTACACGACCCTATTTCGATGGAGTTGAAAATATTCCAGGAACTTTACGAAACAGGAGAAAGACGAGAAACGATCCGTTTCGGGTCGGTTTGCAATTCCATTCTGTTGTTCCGTTTTGAAACAGAATTCACAAGGGGGAGGGGGGCCGAATGATTTCGTTTGAAAGTTTATTCGAAATTGCACGGGGTGAATTTGAAGCGGAGAAGAAGAAACGTTTGGCGAACGAAGGATGTTTGGGTGTTTCTGGAACTTCTGAAAGTTTCATAGATTCTAACAATTTAAAAAGTAAATCGCCGAGTCTTTTTCATCCCCTACACTTCCCTCAGAAAGATTCCTGTTTATCAAAGTCTCGTAGATCAAGGTGTTATTTCGTCGGTCGAGTTCTTAACTGTTTTAACTCCATTTTTTAAAAATGTTTAGTTAATCAAGCTACGTACGTCTGATTGGTTCGAAGAATACAAATCCAACATAATATGAATTAAATTCAGGTAAAGTAAGGAAGTTTGCGTGTCGTCGTTGCGTTAAGAAGTTGGCATGGAAAAAAGGAAACTGGCGATGTTAAGTAAAGGTCGTTGATACGCTGAGCCAATTAGCAACGGAGCCTCGAGGGGCTCAGACTGAATCTTCTGGGTTCAACGTGTTAAACCACACCCCTTGCTCAACCGTTCGCCTACTCGGCGAAATAACCTTCTAGACGACGCTTCTTCCGCGTGACGAGGATCGATCGATCGACACAGCCAACGATTGGGATACGGAGATTTCGAATTTAAATCGTTCTTCCGTCGTTAGTCTGTAACAGAGTAGATAGACCACAGGAATGAAATCGAAAGACTGGACAAATAAACGGGTGGAGCCCAACTTAACGGGAGGAAAACTTACGAAAAAGTGATCCATCTATCGCGCTGGTAATATCCTTGAAGTTCGGAGAATTTGGCCCGAGGCCGAGGGAAACCGGTCTAGATTTAGAATAGATTCTCTGGAAGGTGGGACCAGAGTTCTCCAAAAGTTTCCAACACGGGTTCTTCCGTTCCCGACTGGTATCGAATGATTTACGTTCCACGAGCCACAGTTTTGAATTCTGAACAACCGGAGGGGCTCGATTAACTGGTCCGATGAGTTATCGTTGATTAACGATCATCGTTGAATTCTCGGGAAAATGGAAAGAGATATGTGCTCATTAACGAACTTTTGCGATTAAATCGATCCGTTCGTGTTCAACAGAAGAGGTAATATTCCCAACGAACCGGGTGTTACTAGTCTTCTCGGAAACTAACACTAAAGCTACCAACGTTGAATGTCCATTAAATTAAACTGTATAATACACGGGGTGAGTCACTTCACTGTACTACCTAACCCCACTCCTGAACTACTTGTACAATAAAACGTTTCAAACGAAAGCTGTTCGATATCGAGTAGGTCATACAATATAATAATTGGTTCTTTGAAGTTTTCTGAGTTTTTTTTATCGTAATGCGTAATATTTAACCCTGCGATTCGAAAGAATATCTTACTACCAGAATTTGCAGCACCGCAAATTTCGACTGAATAGATTTTTTTTTCAAATTCACTCAGCAACTTTAAAAAACTAATTTTCATGTACTTTACTATATTAGATAGATAAGAACATTTAACATCCTTTATATTGTAAAATATCGTAGATAAGGGTTCTTACCCGTAAGAATTAAATTAAATTAAATTTAAATGAAAAATTAAAATATTAAATGCCGAGGAAAATATTAATAACGTACATGGAGTCGAAGAATAATTACCGAAATGTTGAATGAAGAATAATGGAAATCTTTGCAACACAAGACTATTTATACGGCGAGCGACGAATCCCTTCTGACGCGCGTCTAACCAGCCACTGACTTATACTACTCGACCGGTTTTGCGACCAAGAGGCCACACAATTCTTTGGAGTTTTCGAACGCAATTTCGTGGTCGGTTTGGCTTGTGGAGAAGCGTGCACAGTTCGACAAGGGGTTGCGCGAGACTCGGCTGTTCGAAAATGCTTGCTTGTTTGCGGACTCTATTCCTCCAGGCGACAAGTTCAAAGAGATTAGCTTACGGTCTACGGGCCCCGCCCCCTGGTTTTCGGTTAGATTTGTCCGGACCCCCGTTAAAACGGTCTTTGTATCGCTTCTACGGCTTTGTAATCGGTCGAGAGAGCCTACCAGGCGAAAACCCTTTTCCCTTATTTTCGCCAGCGGAACGATTCGATCTCGTCCACATTTTGTCACGGGAAACTCTTGCAGAATAAATTTTTCCGAACTTCGTGACACTCGAATACTCGTGCGGTTTGTCCAGAAGAGATAATGGATATGAAAGTGTTTACAGGCTGATAGGAGAGAGTGGATATTATAGTATATGTATAGGTTACAGTGGGGTAGAGGGAACGGCTGCAGTGGCGCCACAGGGGTCGTCAGGGACCGATGACGTCAGAAGATGAGAATGCACGCAAACAAGCTGTTGGAAACTCGCAAGTGAAGGACAAATACGGTATTGAAATTTCAATAAGTATTTACCCAGAAATCGGTAAAACGTACCGAAAGAATGCAAGAAGACTTCTAGTAATCTTAACCTACAATGGCGGAGCCAATGGGGCTAGCTTAGACACTATTATATACGTTCATATTAATAGCTATTTCGTAATTTGACATACAGCAATAGTGGGAACGAAAGGATTAAGTAAACCTATTACCGAAAAGTCGTCCTAGCATCTGTAATACCGATCACGTGTTCCTCCAAGTCAAGCGTCAATCAAAGATCCGTTGATTTTTCACCCGTCATCCACGTTCGAGTCCAGGTTTATCGAGACCACGACGGTCTGTGTAAGTGGACAGGTCGGTTAATGCGTGGGAGTGGCCGCAAGAGCATGGAATCCTGCCAATACCTGAAAAGTGTCTAGCCCGGAAAGAAGGCACGGGTCTTGATTCGCGAAAAGGAGAAAGAGAACAGGAAGAGAAACAGGGTCGCGAACGAGATAGTGGCGCAGCGAAGGGAAACTAATAGCGCCCCCTTCCCCCCAGAAAAGGTACTAGACGATCGCGATTCACGCTGGCCTCGCCGATAACGACGATTTCTCGTCCGTTATCGGTGGATCTGCACTTAGGTCGGCGTCCAATTGAACTGTGGAAGACAATCTCTCGAGGCTTCGAGCAAAAGTCTTCCACCGACACGTGGGAAAAGGACTAATCATCTCCTTGGGAGTCCCCTCCTCGCATTCAAATTCTCTCCCGTCTTTAGGAAGCTAATGTCGGTTCTCTGTTCCGCAGTAACCCGTGTCCATTGAACTGCGAAGCCATTCCACGGGAATTACTGAAATTGACATCAAATTAACATTAAGTTTTAACATTTATTTCAGTACTTAAAATAAATTTACCAACTGATAGGAGACCCATACCTCTGAACCCCAAAAAAAACCTACCCCAACATCTGGTATAATAACACGAAAGTGCTACTGAAAAATCATCAGCGACAACGAGATACTATTAGCGGATTTTTACACTAAAAGCGGTTATGGGAAGATCCTGGATTAGCTTCCGGAAGGAGAGTCGTTGACGGAGGATCGGTCACGGGTCAGACAGCCAGCTCAAACTACGAGGGAATGTACATATCCTACCAGGGAGAAAATCGGAAAATCTGCCGGAACGCGCGTTCTCGATGCTGTGTACACACGGCAACCGAGCGCTATAAATAGAGAAGGCTTGTTAGCGGTACCTTTTCTTTTTTTAAACGCGAGAGAAGGAGCTTGCCCCGGCCCGATAATCGTTCCACGAGCAAATGAACAACCCCGCCCGTTGAATAATGAAACGACACCCGCTGCATCGTACTATCCACGATTTATACCCCCCCGCTACCCGCCATCTTGGCCCGCCTCACCTTTAGCACGTTCGCCTATAACCCGCAACGAAATCTCATTTTCATTATCGTATTTTCACGTCGATTCGCTCGGGCGACGTGGTTCCTTCGTTTTGCTACGATTTGGTTTCTCCTTGTTAAAATTCGCAAGGAATGCAGTGTGGGATATGCACTTTATATTTTTTAAGGTTATGTAGGGCCTTCTTCCAAATTAAATGTTATTTTTAATAGCTATATGTCACAGCTACATATATG